CTTTTGTATTGTTTTTCAGGTTTCAGTTCTGCTCCGATCGTAATGATTTCTTTCCGTCTGCTAACTTTAGGTTTGGATTGTTCTTGTTTTCTAGTTCTTTAAGGTGAAGTGTTAGGTTGTTCACTTGCCATCTTTCCATTCTTCTGAGGTGAGCATTTAATGCAATAATTTCCCCCCTTAATACTGCTTTTGCAGTATCCCACAGGTTTTGGTATGATGTATCGTTATTTTCATTAGTTTCAATAAATTTTTTGATTTCCTGCTTGATTTCTTCTTGGACCCATATGTCATTAAGTAGAATGCTGTATAATTTCCAAAACAATACACTTTTAAATAACACATGAGTCAAAGAAGAGGTCTTATGAAAAAATAAAAAAAATATTTTTTCACATTAGATGAAAATGAAAATATAATTTATCAAAGTTTGTGAGATGTAGTCAAAGCAGTGCTTAGAGGGAAATTATAGCACTGAATGCATATATTAGAATAGAAAGACCTAAAATTAATAATCTAAGCTTCCATCTAAGAGACTAGAAAAAGTAAATTAAATCCAAAGTAGCAGGAGAAATGAAATAATAAAATATGGAGCAGAAATCAATGAAACTAAAACCAGGAAATTAATAGAGAAAACCCATGAAACTAAATGATGTTTCTTTGAAAAGTTCTATAGATTTGATAAACCAGGTTAACTAAGAAAAAAGAGATGTTGCAAATTATTAATATCTGAAACAAAAGAGGGACCATCAGTACTTACCCTATGAGTTTTAAAAAGATAATAAAGGAATATTAAGAATAGCTCTATAACCACACATTTAATAACCTAGATCAAATGGACCAATTTCTCAAAAGATACAATCTACCAAAACTCACACAGGGTGAAATAGATATCTGAATAGGTCTGGATCTATTAAAGTAATTGAATCAATAATTAATAAGCTTTCCAAACAGAAACCTAGATGGGTTCACTGATAAATTCTACCAAACATTTAAAGAACTTATACCAATTCTATACAAACTCTTCCAGAAAATAGAAGCAGAAGGAATACTTCCTAACTCATTCTGTAAGGCAACATGATATAATAGAAAGAATGCAGGATCAGGTGTTAACAATTCTGAGTTCTAGTCTTGACTTCTATTACTTACTCGTATATGCAAATCACTAAACCTCTTTGAGCCTCAATTTCTTCATCAGTAAAATATGGTTAATAATATTGCTATGGACTAAATTGTACCCCCGCCCCCATAAATTCATATGTTGACACCCTAACCTCAGTGTGACTATATTTGAAGATGGGGCCTTTAGGAAGGTAATGAAGGTCATAATGGTGGGCCCTGATCCAATAGACCTGGTGTTCTTATAAGAAGAGGAAAACACACCAGATCTCTCTCTCTCTCTCTCAGCACAGAAGAAAGGCTATATGAGGATGCAGTTTGAAGGTGGCCAAGGAAAAAGCAAGGAAAAAACAAGGAATAACAAGCCAAGAAGAGATTCCTCACCAGAAACCAACCCTTGCACCTCGATCTTGGACTTCTGGCCTTCCAAACTGTAAGAAAATAAATGTTTGTTTGTTGTTTAAGCCACCCAGTCTATTATATTTTGTTATGGCAGCCCAAGTAGACTAATACAAATACTACTTCTTAATACTGTGAACATTACTTCAAAGCAAATGATCTTTGAAAATGGTAAAGCCCTATGTAAATGTTGGTATTCTTATTAATACTCCTCCTTTTTCTACAACAAAACCATTAAAAACTGTAATAGGTAACTATACTATATTCCTGCAACTTATTTACCTTTAGCCTTCAGTGTTTGTTTCCAATACAGTAGTTAATCAATTCTGTCTGACAGATACTCTCTTGATAATATACTAGAGAAGGTCAGGGACATAGGAAAATGCAAAAAGAAAGGCCATAGTCCTCTATTTCAGTCTAAAGAGCAGATATTCAAAACTTGGGTGTTAGCAATGCAACATACTGGCCTGTAGGGTGAAACTGGTTTGAAAGTTTTATTTGTATGTTGCTCTTTAGATATAAATTGGGACCTGAATTAAAGACAAGAACATATCTCCATATTCTCTACATTTATTCTTTCTTTAACACCAAGGTATTCAAGCTATATGCTCTCTGTTTTTTTCCTTTAGAGGCATTATCCAGGCAGAGATGGAAAGAGACAGGTTTAATTCAAAGCACCAGTTTCTATAAACTTAAGCTGCCTCAATGATTTTTCTGATGGAATGAAATTTCTCACACTTGGTCTCAGGCCCAAGGTATATGCAGTACTTCAGTCAAATTGCTTGCGACATATTGGAGTGAGTGCCTGAGAACTGAGTTCCTCAAATATTAAATAAAAGAAAAGGCTGAATACTTCTCATACAGACACTGAACTAAAGGGAGAAGAGTTTTCAAAGTTTCTACTCTTTATGGATCTATTCCCCAATGTTGAAAGAGTTCTGTTTTGCATAAGGCATAAAGATGCACAGTCACAGCCTATGTCAGAAACTGCTGATTCCAGGATCTTTATTCAAAGCTTCTCCCACCACACCTATTGTGGTACTGGCCTCCTTTTCCATTCTAATTACCTATTGCACTCACTCTTTCAGTTGAGTTCCATATATATTTATTTGAGTGCTTGGGATGTACTTGCTAAACCCTGAGGACAGACAGATGAATCTATCTACAGGCCCTTAAGAAAGCTCACAAGCTCATAGTCTCAGAAGGGAAACTTCTATAATACCATGCATGATGAATGGAATTATAGAAGCGTACTCCATGTAAGGAGGTCATACATGAGGGACTGGGAGCTGTTTTCTGATGCCTTTGGGAAGCATTAGGGAATAGAGAACAGATCTCTCCCATGGAAAGTGTGAGTCCTGGGTTCTAGTTCTCTTGTGCTAATTTTGAGCAAGTCACTTCTTGCAACATTTACAAATTTAATATTATTTTCCTGCTTAACCATAGGGAGGAGTTTAACAGACCTCAAGGAATGAGGTATAACAATCAATGAATTTTCTTCCAGCAGTGAATCTTTCCCCCTGAGTAGGAGGTTTGGTCGTTCCAACAATTTTGGAGAAAAACTTGGAAAGCAGGAAATGTGCTGACTTTCCAGCAGCTGAACATGTGCCAAGTTCTCAACCTTTAATCATCTGTGAATGAAATGCTGAAAATAATAGGTACCCAAGTTCCACCTGTATTTCCCCTTGATGTTCCATTTGACCCTAAGACATTTGCTATTACAGAGGTGTGGGTGTTTCAGCCAAGAAGAGAGAAAGATGTCTGGTGAGGGGAGGGGGTGCTGCTGCTACAGATCAAGGGAATTTGAGATGATGGGCATTGAGGGTTCAGTACTTTTGAACTGTGTCCTCTTTGTAGTGGGCCTCATTCCTCCAGGGATTTCCAAGGCAAAGGACAGGGATGAGATGTGGTGAAGAAGGAGCAGAAGGGCTGTTTCCCAAATGGAGGCTTAGTGTTTGGCAAAAGGATGTTTGGGAGGTCAGGATACCCGGATACTAGTCCCAGTTCTGACACTGACTTGTGTCGTGACCTTGCACAAGCCATTCTTTGGTTCTGGTCCTCAGTTTCTATAAATGTAAAAAGAAAAAGGTTCAATTAATTGATCTCCAAGGTAACTTCTTACTCGAACCTTCAGTACTTTTGGGTTCTCAAGTTCTCTAGAGAGAGAACAAATACCAAGACCATTAGGCATCCTAAACTAGAAGTTATTGAATATAAAAACAATAAAACAATTTTAGAGTACAAAAAATATGAAGGATGCATCGTATTATAAGTATTCTACTCTATATACTTCTCAGATTTTCCAGGATAGTTATTCTGTCCTATTGTCCCTAGAAACAATCCAAATGTCCTGAAAATTTTCATGTTTCACCATTCCAGTTACATCTCCTAAATTGCCTCATTCACTCAAAAAAGACTATAGAACATTAGTTATTTTTTCAATGGAAATTAATGACTAATTTTTGCTTCAGAAAATATGGTTGCCATAAAACTGTAGCACTCACCCAACCTTTCCTTTCTAGGTTTTTCTTGTGTATATAAACTTTTTCATTGGTGTAAATAATTTTCAAAGCAATTTAAGCTTTGATCAGTGTAATCTGATTGGATCACTTATTACTCACAAATAACATGTGTTTGGCAATATAAAGAACGGTTCTTAAAAGTGGACATTTACAGTGAATGCTTGGAATAGACAAAGATGCCAACTAGGTTTCTCCACTGTAAGGTTCTGGGGATAATTAGGGGGTGGAGGAACCCAGAGGAGGACTAGCAGCAGAAGCAGGAAGAAGGCATAGAGTTTCAATATCCTTTGTATGTGGTCTCTGCTTGCAGGGACTGGGAACCAGCAGGTTTGGATTTAGGTGAAGGAGCAGACAAGTGATGACTGCCTGAATTTTTATCTCTAGCCCAAACCTTTCTCCTGAGTACCAAACCAGAATTTCAAATGCCTGTTCTGTCTCTTAATCTGGTACCTCAAACTCATTTATCTTCCCTCCAAGACCTTTTTCTTCTGAATTCACTGTCACTGTTACTGGCACCACTATTTTCATTTTCCCAGTCACTGAGACTAATAACCTTGGCAATATCTCCGATTCTTTCATTGACCTGCTAAATCCAGTCAATTGCCAAGTCATGTGGATATCCCTTCATAATCTGTCTCACAATCAGCAACTCCTTTTTATACTTACTACTGCCACCTTCATTTAGGTCTTTATAATTTCTTATTTCCAATATTGTAATATCCTCTTATCAGAGCCATTCCCTCTCAACCTTATCAGTTTTAATCAATAAAAATATACACCAACCTTTAGCTTAGTTTCTTTTCCCACCAGTAATGTTAGATCAAGTGTATGGGGAGGTGATATTCTTAGCTTGCAGTGATACAGGTGCATTTTGCATTGAGGGAGGTGAAGAAGGAATAGCATTCTCAGTCACAAGCAACAGCATCGGTTTGCATAATTTCCTGGAATAGTTGGAGGCAATTTCAGGAGTTCACAGTGGCCTAAAGAAACATTCTCCCATAATTATATTTGTGTCTCACTCTGAAGCACTCTCATTGTATATTTTATCTCCTAATTTGGATGTTAAAGTTGACCCAACACCTGTAGCTTTCCAATGGCAACAACATAAGATTTGGTCTTCTTTGCTTCTTTCCTTATGCACTATATCAGCTGAACTCCTTTCTGTTGCCTTTTGTCTTCCAGCCTCATCTGATCCATCTCACAGATGCTGGGGATTCAGGGATTCCCCTTAGGTTTGAGTGTGTCCTCCCTCATTACTGGCCTTGGCCTCTTCCCGCAGTCATGTTTCCATCACTCACATGGACTTGGCCATGTGGTAGCTTTGCTGATGGGCTCTGCAGCCATCTCCCATAAACCCAGGCCAAGAGGTGACATTCAATCTGTCCACAGAGTACACTTCCATCTTGCCAAAGCTGTAAAACTGTCTGGTATTATAGTCCCTTCCAGTTATGTGCCCTAGGAGGCACCTTCCAAAAACATTAATCAGTTCTCTAATGATTTCATGGTACAGCAGGTAGAGCTCAGGTGGCTTGTAACAGGAAAATAAGGCCACAGTAACAACACTGGGCTAGTGGTTGAGACTCAGAACTCCTGAAACTCTTAAGTCACAAGGCATGAGAAGTCCACTGCACATTTCTGGAACGTGTGCCAAAGATGAGAAAATATCCAGACAGAAGGCAAGGGAAAGAAAAGGTTAGGGGGACACAAATGAACTAGCTCTAAAGTGAAGGCTGCCCCCTCAGTGGGAGTTATGGGGTGATCCATCCAATCAGTAATCCCAGCCTAGTCACCCCAGAGCTGCCATCTCTTCAGTGGACCTGCTTGTCTGGATCTAGGGGCAGTATGGAGGGCTTGCCCAGTGTCCCAGGCATGTACAATGCTTCCACCTAACTCAAACCACATGCAGAAAGATATGTCATACTTGGCATAGAACCAATCAAGAAAGGCATCAGAGGGTGTCCAGACTTCAACTTGTTTGAACAAATGTTCAAAAAACATTTCTAAGGGAATATTCCAGAAAAACATACTCACTTAAGGTTTTAAAACAGATGTTCAGTCTCTAGGATTGTGTTTCTTTGCAGCCATTATTATTGGATGCAATAAGTGGGACCAAATCACTTCAAGGTTTAAACTATGGTGGGTCTTCAGATTTTTCTTGTAGCTTTATTGTGGACCAGGGGAGGGATGAGTCAGAAAGCAGAGCATAATGCTGAGGAGGCAGCATACTGTTGTGCTTCAGTGCCTGGGCTTCAGAGTTAGGCAGACCAAGTCTTAGATCCCTGACTCTATAACCTCTCAGAGCCTCAGTTTCTCTATCTGTAAAATGGGAATAATAACACTCCTTACTTGATAGGTTTGTGAAGAGGACTAAAAGAGATGTCACATGTAAAAGGTCTGCATAGTGTATATCACGTATTAAGCACTTAATAAGTGCTAGACGATATTGTTATTAACATTACTATGAGAACTACTCGT